TCAATGTGAGCAGTCTTTATGGTTATGGTAATGGTTTGGGGAGGAATATGCGCCACCGGCAAAACACCCCTTGTTTTCATCGATCAAGGGGTCAAAATCAATCAGGAGTGTAACCGGGACATTTTGAAAACTGTTGTGCTTCCTTGGGCCCAGCAGCACTTCGGTGATACGGAGTAGACGTTTCAACAGGATTCAGCGCAAGCCCATAGAGCCAAATTGACTCAGGACTGGTGCAAAGCCAATTTTCCTTTATCGGACTTTATCGCATCCAGTGAATGACCACCATACTCGCCAGATCTTAATCCGATGGACTACAGTGTGTGGTCTATTTTGGAGTCCAGGGCATGTGCTAAACGCCACATAAGCTTGGAGGCGCTGAAGCAATCATTGCTCCGAGAATGGGATCGATTATCGGAAGAAGACCTGCGGCCCAATGCGCTAAATTTCCAGAAACGTTTAGGGCTCTGCATCGCAGCACAAGGAAGCCACTTCGAAACCGGCTGAATATATGTTAACACAATACCTATTTAATAGTTGTGCATCTGCATTTTTTCTCAAATACAGTCCCTTCAAAAGTTATGATCAAAAATGTTTGTCCGGGGTATTTATTGTCACCCTGTATGTTTACATTAAATATATAATATGCATATATACAATATTACAAAAAATATTGTATCTATATCATAAAAAATTAAAGCTGGACATGTAAAAAATTTAAAGAATATAAAATGTGTATTTCTATTCAATATCTACTCTATGATCTTTAACAATAATATAAATACCTCATAGATTTTGGGATAACTTCTCCTTTATCAGTAGGAAACCGTTTATCAGTAAGAAAATTATGATTGAACATGTCAAGTTCGTGAAGGAGACGTGACGTGATTTTTGCGGACGAATCCAAGTTTAACCTTTTCGGATTTGATAACAGGCAATATGTTTGGCGGCGTGCGAATGCTCGAACCTAAAAACCTTAAAGCTATGGTCAAGCACGGAGTCGGACATATTATGGTTTGGGCCTGTATGGCTACGTCTGGAGTCGGAAACTTGGTTTCCATTGACGGAGCTATGGATGCTATGGTGAGCCTCACCATTTAAAAAAAATCTAGCCCGAAGCGCAGAAATCTTGCGTATGCTTAGGACTTAGGTTTTATCAAGACAAGCACACTGCTGGCAATGTGTAGCTTTGGTGGGTCTTAAACTTTCCACATGTAATAAAAACACCAGCACAGTCTCCAGACTTCAACGTTTTTGAGAACTAGTGGGTGATTTTGGACGAATCGATCCGTAAAAAGAAAATAACGAGCAAAAATGAGCTGAAAACTGTCTTACTGGAGGAGTAAAGGAAAATTCCTGTTGAAACCACAACAAAATTTGTGAAATCTAGGGGAAACCGTTTACAGGCAGTAAAAAACAAAAGAGTGGCCCGACCAAATATTAGATTAAACAAGAAAGGAAAGCTAACTTCGGGCGGAGCCGAAGTTTACATACCCTTGCAGTTAAAACCGGATATATATCGCAAACATCGGATATAGTTGGCTGATCCTTATGATTACATCATAATAAAACTAATTAACTAAAATAAAAAATCTAAAAAAAGTTCCAAACTTCTATCTTCAAAAATACGAAAGTTGATATTTCTACCAAGTACCATTTCCGATCGTTCAGCTATATGGCAGCTATAGGATATACTCGGCCGATCCTAATGAAATTTGGTAGGTTGGATCAACTGTTCTTGTGGGCTTTTTATTCTTCTAACGAGTAGTGATGATATTTCGGTTCAATATTTTTAAAGGATATTTCGGTGTTTTTGAGTATTACTACCGCCCGTCGTCTTGTCTTGGCGCTAATATCGTTTAATTTGAACGCTAACACTAATGGAATTTGTATAAATTTGCATTAAACTGATAACTTACCAAATAACTATAGACTCAAATAATTATACACAATTAATTATTAAATGAAGCATTTCCTTACTTCTTATTAAATCAAAAAAGGTTTATGCTATCGTATTGTAAATAAATTCAAAAACGAAACTGCGTTAATAGTTTTTATGATTCGGCACAATCCAACCTACGTGTATTTCACGAAACACAAAAAATGCTAGATTAAAATTGTTTAATATAAAACTTTAGAAAAGAACATATACATAAAGACACATCACATTAAACAAATATTGAATTAAACACTTAAATTTTACATACCTCCACTAATATTTTCCATTTTACTTAGTTTTAAAATGTTAAGTAGAGCTTTGGCAATCTTACTTTTAAATGTGCTATTATTTAGCGCGCCAAAAACCACAACTAGCACTCATGCAAAATCCGAAATCACTAACTCAAAAAAACCAAAATTATAGCATTTCCGATCAATCAGTTGTATGGCAGCCATAGCATATAGTCAGCCGATCCCAGTTCCGACTTATATATATACTGCGTGCAAAGGAAGGAACGGTGTGTGCAAAGTTTCAAGTCGATAGCTTTGAAACGCCAACAACCATCGAGCAAAGGGAATTAGTCCTAAAACATTTTAAGGTCGGAAAAACGCAGCACGCTATAGCCGAAATGATTTTCTTAAGGGGTTATATACCTTTTTTTTCTTCAAAAAAAACGAAAAATTTTTTTTTGCTGAATCCTAAAGTATATCCCCTACAGAATATTTTCCCAAAGTTTCATGGAAATCCGAATAATAGTTCGATAGGAAAACAGCGTTTTGAGGCGCGGTTCGTCACAGCTGCGGACAGCGTCAAGCTACTTTGAATGCGATTATCTCAAAGTCGTGTTTTTCCAAAAGTGCCTTCGCCGTGACCACAATTACACAAAAACTATTTGATCGATCTTCTTCAATTTTTTTTTAAATTATTCGTAATGATTGTGCCGAGTTCGTGAACGATTCAGTTTTTTTGCGTCCATTTTGATTTCGCAGAAAAAAATTTTTTAATAAAATTTTTAGAACTGAAAACATCAATTTTTTGGAAAAATGTTTACTGTATGCAGGAAAAACCAAATATTCTTGAAACTAATCGTTCACAAACTGGATATAATATTATACTAATAAAAAATTTTTGGTTTTTGGATTTTGGTTGACCGGCTGGACTGCTATCGTGGTCACCGCAAGCCGCTATAAAAAAAAGGGTTCCGAGAGAATTGCCATAACTTTGTAAATTGTTTATATTTTTTTAAGAAAAAACGCTTATTGTTTCAATAAAAACATGTACTTTCAATAAAAAATAACTTCAGTGTCATAAAATAATTGCTACACATACGAAATAAAAATCCAAAGTTCCCTCAATTTTTTCGCTTAAAAAGGTATATAACCCCTTAAGCCTCAGCACGGTGCAATACATAATTCAAAGATTCGGCCCTACCGACCACTGTTTTAGTCCGACTTCATCCAGTGCTGTAAAGCCAAAGTTTTTCAACATATATGTAAATGTTCAAAATAAATTGTAACCTTAACTGTGAGCAAAAAAATTACTTATTTTTGTTGCAAGCACATACCAGATTGTTATTTGAAACCACTCTAAATAAAACCACCTGGGGTGTAAGTTGAATAAACTGCCATGCTGCATAACAAACATTTTTTAAAATGTTTATAAATTTTTAATAATTAATAGTGAAAAATCAAGGATTAAGCCACAATTCAAAGAAAAATTTAATGCTTAATAATAGGGTTTCAAATAATTAGAACTTTAAAATCGAAACAAGAAAGCAAAGCTAACTTCGGGCGGAGCCGAAGTTGATATACCCTTGCAGCTAAAACCGGATATATATCGCAAACATCGGATATAGTTGGCCGATCCTTATGATTACATCATGATAAAACCAATTAATTACAATAAAAAGTCTAAAAAAAAGTGCCAAGCTTCTATCTTCAAAAATATGAAAGTTCATATTTCTACCAAAAACCATTTCCGATCGTACAGTTATATGTCAGCTATAAGATATAGTCAACCGATCGTTATGAAATTTGGTAGATCAGATTAACTGACTAAAAATAGAATGTGTACCAAGTTCCAGTTTTCTATCTTCAAAAACACGAAAGTTGGGTCATTTCCGATCGTTCAGTTATATGGCAGCTATAGGATATAGTCGGCCGATCCTTATGAAATTTGGCATATCGTAATATTTTGCCAAAAATAGCTCTCATGTCAAAATAGAACTCTCTAACTCTAAAAACACCAAAGTTATACCATTTCCGATCAATCAGTTATATGGCAGCTATAGGATATAGTCGGCCGATCCCGGCCGTTCCGACTTATATACTGCGTGCAAAGGAAAGAAGGGTGTGTGCAAAGTTTTCAGTCGATAGCTTTAAAACTGAGAGACTAGTTTGCGTAGAAACAGACAGACGGACAGACGGACAGACGGACATGCTCATATCAACTCAGGAGGTGATCCTGATCAAGAATATATATACTTTATAGGGTCGGAGATGTCTTCTTCACTGCGTTGCACACTTTTGGACAAAATTATAATACCCTCTGCAAGGGTATAAAAAAAGGGCATCACTGCAAATTAAACTCAGCTTTAAAACTCTGAAGCGATTTGGCCTACTGTATAAGAGGCCTGTTATTTCACTTGTGTTTCATAAAAATCTACATTTTACCAATTAAGTCCACGAAATGTTTTAGTTTATTAATTAATAAATTAATAATTTTAATTGCAGTTTAATTACAAATTCAACACTTATGTATCAACCGAACTTTTCACGTAAAAGTGCGATTTCATTACTGATTTTAGACAAAACACTAGCAAGATCGTCGGTGTTTTTGAAATAACTCAGAACAGGCATGTGTGGAATCCTAAAGTGAAATTGAAACGAAATTAAGTTGAAGTGTTTTGTGTGGCACAACTGATCGTTCCTTTTTCCTTTTTTTTGTTTTCTTTTTTTTAAGCTTTTATTGAATGGAAATATATTATCGCTTACAACATTGGGAAAACATTGATTGTATTTTACATTGTATATTTGCTTGAAGCTTTTTGATGTTAGTGTTTTTGTGAGGATACTGTGCGTGTCACTGAAGATGGTGGTGCTACGCCTACTCGTTCGTTTACTTCTTAATTGTTACATTATCCCTATCTGCGTGAGACTTGTTCTTTCTGCTTTTTAATGACGCTTATTTTCGAACGTCTAGTGCGCATCTGCTGACCATCAGTGCTGCCACCATTGGCCTTGTACTCCCTCATGGCGCAAACGTAGTCCTCCTTGGCCTTGGCAGCCTTGGCCTCCCACTCCGACTTGTCCGTCATTGAACGCCATAATTCACCTGCCTTCCTAGTCACCTCGGTTACTTTGATCCCGGGGTTATCTTCTTTTATGGACTCACGGATACTGCTGAGCCACAGCATGTAGGAGGAAAGTGGGCGTTTCGGTCTTTCGGCCATTTCAGTTCGTTTTTTTTTGTTAAATATTTCGAGCCTCTCATGTGAGTTTGAAGTTAGTACTGATTTTCCCAAGAATACTTTTCTCAGTCGTTTGACAATTAAAGAATATAGTCTACTGATTTCAGTTCTATTTCCTGAAACACGAAATTTACGGCACCGTTGCTTACAAATATTAAATGAGAGTTCCCCCATACCCGCTATTCAGACTTTACGATAGTCTATAATACTGGGTGACAATAAATAACCCGGACAAACTTTGAAACAATATATTATAAATGTGTTATTATGCAGCCCTTAAATAAATGCATTTATCGATAGCTTGTACTTTTCTGAAAAAATATAATTACATTTTTATGATTCCCATCAATTTGATATTTGTTTCGAGATGTCTAACAATCGTTGTGCAATTTTAGAACTGTTTCAACAAGGAAATCACCAATGCGACATTGTTCGTTTGCTGGGCATACCAAAACAAACGATTTAATGAACTTGGCCACGTTTATGACCGCCCCGTCGCGGATCGTGAAAAAGCTTATCACTCGGAATTGCAGCGTCTCGGTCATAAAAATAGCCCGTGAAATCGGAGTGAATCGAGAAAGTGTTCGGTTGATTGCAAAAAATGAACTTAATCTCAGGCCCTACAAGCTCCAAAAAGTGCATCTTCTTACGGATGACAATAAGCGCGTGAGACTCCAAAGATGCCGTCAGCTAAAGCGTCGCGCCGCAGGTCAAAAATGGGAGCGTATTCTCTTCACGGACGAGAAGATATTCACCATCCAACAGGCGCACAATCACCAAAATGACGGAAGCTGGTCGGCTGAAGCTCCAGGTACCTCTGCAATAATCGAGCGCCGTCAATGTGAGCAGTCTTTATGGTTATGGTAATGGTTTGGGGAGGAATATGCGCCACCGGCAAAACACCCCTTGTTTTCATCGATCAAGGGGTCAAAATCAATCAGGAGTGTAACCGGGACATTTTGAAAACTGTTGTGCTTCCTTGGGCCCAGCAGCACTTCGGTGATACGGAGTAGACGTTTCAACAGGATTCAGCGCAAGCCCATAGAGCCAAATTGACTCAGGACTGGTGCAAAGCCAATTTTCCTTTATCGGACTTTATCGCATCCAGTGAATGACCACCATACTCGCCAGATCTTAATCCGATGGACTACAGTGTGTGGTCTATTTTGGAGTCCAGGGCATGTGCTAAACGCCACATAAGCTTGGAGGCGCTGAAGCAATCATTGCTCCGAGAATGGGATCGATTATCGGAAGAAGACCTGCGGCCCAATGCGCTACATTTCCAGAAACGTTTAGGGCTCTGCATCGCAGCACAAGGAAGCCACTTCGAAACCGGCTGAATATATGTTAACACAATACCTATTTAATAGTTGTGCATCTGCATTTTTCTCAAATACAGTCCCTTCAAAAGTTATGATCAAAAATGTTTGTCCGGGTTATTTATTGTCACCCTGTATGTTTACATTAAATATATAATATGCATATATACAATATTACAAAAATATTGTATCTATATCATAAAAAATTAAAGCTGGACATGTAAAAATTTAAAGAATATAAAATGTGTATTTCTATTCAATATCTACTCTATGATCTTTAACAATAATATAAATACCTCATAGATTTTGGGATAACTTCTCCTTTATCAGTAGGAAACCGTTTATCAGTAAGAAAATTATGATTGAACATGTCAAGTTCGTGAAGGAGACGTGACGTGATTTTTGCGGACGAATCCAAGTTTAACCTTTTCGGATTTGATAACAGGCAATATGTTTGGCGGCGTGCGAATGCTCGAACCTAAAAACCTTAAAGCTATGGTCAAGCACGGAGTCGGACATATTATGGTTTGGGCCTGTATGGCTACGTCTGGAGTCGGAAACTTGGTTTCCATTGACGGAGCTATGGATGCTATGGTGAGCCTCACCATTTAAAAAAAATCTAGCCCGAAGCGCAGAAATCTTGCGTATGCTTAGGACTTAGGTTTTATCAAGACAAGCACACTGCTGGCAATGTGTAGCTTTGGTGGGTCTTAAACTTTCCACATGTAATAAAAACACCAGCACAGTCTCCAGACCTCAACGTTTTTGAGAACTAGTGGGTGATTTTGGACGAATCGATCCGTAAAAAGAAAATAACGAGCAAAAATGAGCTGAAAACTGTCTTACTGGAGGAGTAAAGGAAAATTCCTGTTGAAACCACAACAAAATTTGTGAAATCTAGGGGAAACCGTTTACAGGCAGTAAAAAAAAAAGAGTGGCCCGACCAAATATTAGATTAAACAAGAAAGGAAAGCTAACTTCGGGCGGAGCCGAAGTTTACATACCCTTGCAGTTAAAACCGGATATATATCGCAAACATCGGATATAGTTGGCTGATCCTTATGATTACATCATAATAAAACTAATTAACTAAAATAAAAAATCTAAAAAAAGTTCCAAACTTCTATCTTCAAAAATACGAAAGTTGATATTTCTACCAAGTACCATTTCCGATCGTTCAGCTATATGGCAGCTATAGGATATACTCGGCCGATCCTAATGAAATTTGGTAGGTTGGATCAACTGTTCTTGTGGGCTTTTTATTCTTCTAACGAGTAGTGATGATATTTCGGTTCAATATTTTTAAAGGATATTTCGGTGTTTTTGAGTATTACTACCGCCCGTCGTCTTGTCTTGGCGCTAATATCGTTTAATTTGAACGCTAACACTAATGGAATGTGTATAAATTTGCATTAAACTGATAACTAACCAAATAACTATAGACTCAAATAATTATACACAAAAAGTGCGTCATATTCATTAAATGAAGCATTTCCTTACTTCTTATTAAATCAAAAAGGTTTATGCTATCGTATTGTAAATAAATTCAAAAACGAAACTGCGTTAATAGTTTTTATGATTCGGCACAATCCAACCTACGTGTATTTCACGAAACAAAAATGCTAGATTAAAATTGTTTAATATAAAACTTTAGAAAAGAACATATACATAAAGACACATCACATTAAACAAATATTGAATTAAACACTTAAATTTTACATACCTCCACTAATATTTTCCATTTTACTTAGTTTTAAAATGTTAAGTAGAGCTTTGGCAATCTTACTTTTAAATGTGCTATTATTTAGCGCGCCAAAAACCACAACTAGCATTCATGCAAAATCCGAAATCACTAACTCAAAAAACCAAAATTATAGCATTTCCGATCAATCAGTTGTATGGCAGCCATAGCATATAGTCAGCCGATCCCAGTTCCGACTTATATATATACTGCGTGCAAAGGAAGGAACGGTGTGTGCAAAGTTTCAAGTCGATAGCTTTGAAACGCCAACAACCATCGAGCAAAGGGAATTAGTCCTAAAACATTTTAGGGTCGGAAAAACGCAGCACGCTATAGCCGAAATGATTTTCTTAAGCCTCAGCACGGTGCAATACATAATTCAAAGATTCGGCCCTACCGACCACTGTTTTAGTCCGACTTCATCCAGTGCTGTAAAGCCAAAGTTTTTCAACATATATGTAAATGTTCAAAATAAATTGTAACCTTAACTGTGAGCAAAAAAATTACTTATTTTTGTTGCAAGCACATACCAGATTGTTATTTGAAACCACTCTAAATAAAACCACCTGGGGTGTAAGTTGAATAAACTGCCATGCTGCATAACAAACATTTTTTAAAATGTTTATAAATTTTTAATAATTAATAGTGAAAAATCAAGGATTAAGCCACAATTCAAAGAAAAATTGAATGCTTAATAATAGGGTTTCAAATAATTAGAACTTTAAAATCGAAAAAAAAGGGCATCACTGCAAATTAAACTCAGCTTTAAAACTCTGAAGCGATTTGGCCTACTGTATAAGAGGCCTGTTATTTCACTTGTTTCATAAAAATCTACATTTTACCAATTAAGTCCACGAAATGTTTTAGTTTATTAATTAATAAATTAATAATTTTAATTGCAGTTTAATTACAAATTCAACACTTATGTATCAACCGAACTTTTCACGTAAAAGTGCGATTTCATTACTGATTTTAGACAAAACACTAGCAAGATCGTCGGTGTTTTTGAAATAACTCAGAACAGGCATGTGTGGAATCCTAAAGTGAAATTGAAACGAAATTAAGTTGAAGTGTTTTGTGTGGCACAACTGATCGTTCCTTTTTCCTTTTTTTGTTTTCTTTTTTTTAAGCTTTTATTGAATGGAAATATATTATCGCTTACAACATTGGGAAAACATTGATTGTATTTTACATTGTATATTTGCTTGAAGCTTTTTGATGTTAGTGTTTTTTGTGAGGATACTGTGTGTGTCACTGAAGATGGTGGTGCTACGCCTACTCGTTCGTTTACTTCTTATTTGTTACATTATCCCTATCTGCGTGAGACTTGTTCTTTCTGCTTTTTAATGACGCTTATTTTCGAACGTCTAGTGCGCATCTGCTGACCATCAGTGCTGCCACCATTGGCCTTGTACTCCCTCATGGCGCAAACGTAGTCCTCCTTGGCCTTGGCAGCCTTGGCCTCCCACTCCGACTTGTCCGTCATTGAACGCCATAATTCACCTGCCTTCCTAGTCACCTCGGTTACTTTGATCCCGGGGTTATCTTCTTTTATGGACTCACGGATACTGCTGAGCCACAGCATGTAGGAGGAAAGTGGGCGTTTCGGTCTTTCGGCCATTTCAGTTCGTTTTTTTTGTTAAATATTTCGAGCTTCTCATGTGAGTTTGAAGTTAGTACTGATTTTCCCAAGAATACTTTTCTCAGTCGTTTGACAATTAAAGAATATAGTCTACTGATTTCAGTTCTATTTCCTGAAACACGAAATTTACGGCACCGTTGCTTACAAATATTAAATGAGAGTTCCCCCATACCCGCTATTAAGACTTTACGATAGTCTATAATACTGGGTGACAATAAATAACCCGGACAAACTTTGAAACAATCTATTATAAATGTGTTATTATGCAGCCCTTAAATAAATGCATTTATCGATAGCTTGTACTTTTC